CAGTGGGGGTCTGGGGCAGTTTCTGGGGTATCATGGTCAGTAGAACGGGGCCTGGAGCAGTTTCTGGGGTAACAATGGGGGTCTGGGGCAGTTTCTAGGATAACAAGGCCTAGGGGAGGGTGTCTAGGGCAGTTCCTGGCAGGAACAGTGGGGTCTGGGGCAGTTTCTGGGGTAACCGGTTCAGGGGAGAGGGCGGAGAGTCCTTGCGGGGTGGTGCTGCCTCGGGCAGCATGGGGGCTTTTTGCACGGTGCCACGGGAGCCGAAGCCAGGGCCAGGAGTTGGGCATGGGGGGCTGGCCCTGGCCCCGGGGAATGCGGCGGTGGGGCCATCCTGCAGACGGGCTGAGGCAGCAGGAGGGGGCCCAAATCCCATGTTAGCAGGACCAGGGCATCCCTGGTTTGGGACTTGAGGCACCTCGAGCACGACGTGCCCTTCCTCGGCTCCTTTGCTGAGCCGCTTGTCACCAGAACCCCTCGCCCGGCGCCTGTCATTGGCGGCCTAGTGCTCTCAAAGTGCGGTGGTGACCACCTGGGAGTGCAGAAACCTGGAAACCCCCTGGCACGTGCTTCTCTCCTTGCTGCTAGTCCAGTCTCACGCATCTCAGCCCTCTTCTGGGGCATTCAAACAGATTCAGGCCTGCTCCAGTGACATCCTGGGAGAAATTCCCTGTGCTCAGCATTTCTCTTCTCCAGTGTGACCTGGATGTTTTCAAGAGGACATCGAGTGTTGGGAGTGCTCAGAAGTGAGGTTCTGGGGGAATCCAGCCTGCTTTCTGCAAGCTATGTATCAGCAGTCGGCGTCTAGCACAATCTTTGCTGTACTAGTGTGTTACAGGCATTCTGAAAATGTGTTTTCGATAGACAAACTGAGATTTAAAGGAGCACGCACAAGGAAATCCTTTTTTCTTCCGCAGAGGCCTGCCCATTTATATAATATTTCTAGTTCCGTGTTTGAACGTTTTGTTATGGGCCAGTAAATCAATTAATACCCGTCCTGAGTTATTTCTTTATTACAGAAGTTCTTAGGCTGCCCAAATAACCCAAGTGTTAGAGGTACTAAATCCTGAATGCTGGGCTGTCAGAAAGAGCAGGTTGAGAGAAACGCAAGGTATTTCTTTTACTTACCACATCATTTTTCACTAAACTGCTTTCCTCCTGAGGTCATGGGGCATGAAAGAGCAGCTACTCCCCCTGCTGTCAGAAGCTTGAGGCTTTAGTCTTTTTTGGGGGCTGTTGCTAGGTGAAAGAAAAAGCTAGAGGTTTTCTGAATTTCTGAGCAGAAGCCAGGCTTGTACCAGAGGAGGTGTGAATTCAGGAAAACCGAGGCTTTTCTTTCTCTCCTCTGGCTGATGAGTTTCTGAGGTCCCTGTCCTGGCAGTTGTCTGCGTACCTAACATAACAGACGTGGGTGGTGCCTTCTCACTTAATGAGTCAAGCTGCAAGCTCTTGTGGTTTGTGCTTCCGATGTGCTGTTCGAATATAGGTTTTTGAGAGTTCATTTGAGAAGCTTGGTATAGCAACGGAACAGTGCCGTACAAGGTTAAATCATTGTTGTTCTGTTGGCGCTAAAACCAGAGCATGTACTTTACAAAGGCAATGTGACTTGCTAGCTGTGTCAGCACAATGTTGACAAGCGTTTGCAGTCCTGGAGTCAACATCTCTGGAGAGTGAACCTGCATGTCAGCTACAGTGACAGCAGCAGCCCATGCCGGCTGCCTGCTGTGAAAGCCCTGTCAAAGTACATGGAGAATTCAGGCTCTGGACTTGTTCAGACCTGGCTCATCTGCTGGGTTCGCTAGGGAGTGAGTCAATCAGTATCACCTGAACAGTGTTTTTTTTTTTTCTGCTGTACAACACTTCCCGTAGATACCTGACTTTGAACCAAACCTGCCACAGATGGCCAGCCTGCAATGACCCTTCTCTTTCACTCCTGCCTAGGTTGGGCTTGAACTGCAAACTTGGAAAGAGGCTTTACATTCTCTTACCAAGTGCCTAGTCATTCAGTCCCTGACCCCTTTTTAAAAAAGGCACAATTTATGCAGCCCACTGCACAGAAAACAGTGATAGTGATTAATGCTGTCAGCCCTTAAGGGAGGCTTTAGCCGCAAGACTCTTACGTATTAAAATTAATTTGCTGGTCCAGTAACCAGGTATCCAATTATTTACCTTGTCCATCACCGGTTTGAATATCAGCATGGCTGAAAATGTTCTACGTTAATTCATTAGCCTGATACACACTGTAGTGTGTAGTCAGTGCTCGGGGCTGTGTGGTACCCTTTACCTTGGTGTCATGTAGGAGAGCCCTCTCAAGGTGCCATTGATCTGACTTTATAAGTCAATTTGGTACAAGTGGTAAGTGAAATGCTCCGAGATGCCAGCTGTGCTGCTGCTCATTCTTGCATCAGTAAAGGGACGTGTTCATGTTTATGTATTTTTGTAAGTAGATTTAATTTTGTTATTTTTTAAAATGATTTGAGGAAAACAAGTTGCACTGTCACTGCACCTAACCTGGAGGGAAATACTTTTACATTTCAGATTAAGGTAATTATCATGACCCAGGCAACTCAAATCTTGCTTTTTTCTCTTCTACCATCTGCCTCTTCTTTTGTTACACTCTGCGGGCAGTAAAGAATCTTGTAGTGAATGTCTCTGTAGGGTTTCACTTTAGATAGGTCCATACTCATCAGTAATCAGAACTTCTGCTGACCGCTAGCATGGAGCAACCAGCAAGCTGTACAGGCTGTGACCCACCCTAGGGAAATGGTGATAGTAGTTAGTAGATAATAGTTCAGTTTCCTGAACAAACAGGAATTTTTCAAATTGGTCTAGTTTCAAGGGCAATATAAAAAGAAAACCATGTGAATGCTGAAGGGAGGCCTTTTAAGTTAATTTCTCAGTAACAAAAAAGCCACCAGCTCAAGCTCTTATTCTTTTCTCGTGGTTGAAACTAAAGACTTGATCCTTTGGTTGGATTCGGGAGGGCGGAGTTCCACCCACATGGATCCAATTGTGAGATCAAGTGTTTGGTGCATGTCGTTGTGTAGGTGTTTCAAAGAAAACCACTAAAAATTGAGGCTGTGTCCATCTCATGTGGCTATTACAATTCTCGCAAGATTTTTGAGTTATTGTTTGCTGCAATTAAATTTTATTTTCTCTGCCTGTCCCCTGTACCCCTTTCTACGTAAGTCTACTTCTGGAGAGATGGGTATGCAGTTTGGGATGAAAGATGCTGTTCTATACAGTACATACTTAAATAGGAAAATCTCCTTTGTTTTTACTCCTGTCCACAGCTACTGAGTGCAGGAGCAGATTTCCCTTGATGTTTGTCTGTGCTGTTGCCTGCTGATGTAACCGTTTTAGCAGCCGCCTGAGGGACTCCCATCAGCTTGCTTTTGCAGAGCCCTTGGCAAGGAACATTCACCAGGAAGCGCAATGAAGATCGTGATAGCCAAAGTGCTATGTCTGCTGGGCGTCTGTGTCCTCATGCTGGTTGGGTCCCTCCTACCCGTCAAGATAATCGAGGCAGATTACGAGAAAGCTCATCGCTCCAAGAAGGTCATTGCCCTCTGCAATTCTTTTGGAGGAGGGGTCTTCCTGGCCACCTGCTTCAATGCCTTGCTGCCAGCTGTGAGAGAAAAGGTAACCTCTTAATAGCCTCTCTGGCAATTTTAATGAACCTGTACAGTTGTTATGGTAGGGACTCCTGTATAGGCCAGGTCACCAGCAGCCACAAGCACAGGCCTCTGCCCCTCCATAAACGAAGACTGCGGTCCAACCCTAGCCAAAGTGGCCCACCAAGCCCACTCAGAAACTGGTGTGCTTTGCCTGGTGTTTCAGAACACAAGGGAGTGATGCGTTCACCTCACATTCAGCTACCTCTGACTGACACGTTTGAATAATCAGACACTTTTTTGCTGCAGAAGGGAGGCTGAACGTGGCCTTGGGCATGAGGCTCAAACTCCTGCCGTTGAGTCCATGTTTAAACGCTTTTTCAGAGAGCCTCTAAGGTCCAGCAGTAAGGCAGAGAGGTTCCCAATCTCTAATGTTGAGGCATGTATACGTGGGTATTAAACCATTGCGAATCTGTTCAGTGTCCTTGTAGAATTCTGTAAACACAGTAGGAATATTTCATAAATCCATTATTAAGGGATGCAGGAGCCCAGATTTTTTTTCCCCCGTAGCTAGGTATCAGCTGTTGGAAGCTCTCCTCCCCCAACCCAAACAGATTTTGTAGGAAAACATTAGAGCTTCCTTGTGGCTCCCTGTGTCTCTTTGGTAGGCAAAAGGTGATTTGATTCTCTGTCAATGTTTTCCTTTGTTCCAGCTCAGTGAAGTTCTCAGTCAGGGGAATGTGACCACGGACTACCCCGTGGCTGAGACCATCATGATGATTGGCTTCTTTATGACAGTCTTTGTTGAGCAGCTCATCCTGACCTTCCAGAAGGAAAAGCCTTCCTTCATTGACTTGGAGACCTTCAACGCTGGCTCAGATATCGGGAGTGACTCTGAGTATGAAAGTCCCTTCATAGCATCTTCCCGAGGGCGCACGTTGTACAGCGAGCACGGTCACCACTCCCACAGCCATGGTTTGAACATACAGGAGCTCTCGCGGTCCAGTCCCTTACGACTCTTCAGCCTGGTATTTGCTTTATCTGCACACTCCATCTTTGAGGGACTGGCCCTGGGCTTGCAGGAGGAGGGTGGCAAAGTCATGAGCTTGTTCCTGGGAGTTGCTATTCATGAGACATTGGTGGCAGTGGCGCTGGGTATCAGCATGGCCAAGACCTCGTTGACACTGAAGGATGCTGCCAAGGTAGCTGTGACAGTGAGCCTGATGATTCCTCTGGGCATTAGCATTGGGATGGGGATTGAGAGTGCCCAGAACGTGGCCAGCAACATTGCTTCAGTGCTCCTACAAGGCATCGCAGGGGGCACTTTCTTGTTTGTCACCTTCTTTGAGATCCTTGTGAAGGAGTTGGAAGACAAGAACGATCGTCTCTTGAAGGTCCTCTTCCTAGTGCTGGGCTACGCGGCTCTAGCTGGGCTGGTCTTCTTCAAATGGTGAGCATGGAAGTGATGGAAAGAAAACCTCACCTCCTTCCCCTTGCAAATGGCACCAGAAATGAGCCTACTCTCTAGCCAAGGGGGGACACTGAAGCTTAAAAGCCAAGTGAAACATCACAGTCCAGGTAGTATCTCAGTATCGACCTGAAGAAGGAGAATTATTTTCTGTGGACACAGAGATAAAAATGAGGAATGTCCCAGTGTAGGTGTCACAAGGTATTGTCCCTGCCCATTGGATCTGCGGGTGCAGCAGCTTGTGCAGAGATTACTGGACACAAACATTAAGTATCTGGTTCTAACACCGCCTTCAAAGAGAGCTTGTCAAGCATGTCTTTTCCTATTAATCTGCACATCCAACCCCTTCCCTTCCTCCCCCCATCCCCCCACCCATTTCAGAAACTTTGGTTGGGAGTTTGCTTCCTTCAGTGTCAGATTCTGAGAAGGTGAGAATCAGTAACAGAGAAGTAAAGTCAAAAGCAGGTGGGATAATGAGTTGCACAGCTGCACTAAGCTGCTTTTGCTAGCTTAGTTTTGAGCAAAACCTGGTTGTAATAGCTGCCAAAAATAACATCCCTGCTGGGGCTGCTCGGTGTGACTGGTGCCACAGTTTTCTCCTAGTAGAGCTTCCATTTTAACCCACAACTGGCTCTGGGAGCTTTTGTTTCTCAGAGTGATTAACTGAAGAAATGCGGCCATGCCCAGGTCTTATACTTCGTTCTCTTTATCTCACCCATATGTTGCACATTCCCTAAAGAAATCTTCCTGCTGTATGTTAATGTATCAATTTGAAAACCTTAACATCCATATCTGAAGGCCCTTCCAAAGCATTCTGCAAGCCCAGGATCCATTAGTTGGTAAGAAATGGGCAGTAGCAATTTCCAGCATTAATATTTTAGGGCAAGTGCTTGTGTTGAGATTGTCTGCAGTGAAATGGGTTTAGCAGTCACCATCAAATGCATCTGCAGGGATGCTCCCAGAGCTGCCGTCTCTCGATGTCAGCTGGCTCCCTGCTTGTACTGACCTGTGAGCGAGAGCTGGGTTCTAGAGGTTCTGCAGGACGTCTTGTCAGTGTTTTCAAAGGAGGAGAGAAATCTTCTCTCCCCTGAGGGTTTATGGGCTGCAGGGTAGGGACTGTGGAAGGGCTGATTAGAGCCAGTTATAATCTGACTGAGCTTGCTGTGTCTCCAAGGTGCGTTTCCCTCTGGGAGGCTCAGCCTGCTGTGGATCCAGTTGTGATCCTTCGTACTCGTCTTCCTAGGCGAGAAGCTCAAATCAAAGGCTGGAACAGGAATGTGCACTTTCCTCTCCCTCCTGTGGTTTGCCCTTGTGCTGCATGCAAAGTAGCATAGGGATGTAGTGCAAGAAAGCAGGCAGGCATGCTAGCTCAAAATGTCTGTAGCTCCTGCTCTGCAGATCCGGCAGAGTAACACAGTCACGCTCCTCGCAGGCCTCTAGTAGGAGATGCATTTTAATTAGACATAGCCTTCAATCCTGCAGCAGCTTCCACAGGCAAATCAAAGCTTTCGGAAGCGTTGATGGAATTATAATGATTTAGGGCAGACTATTCCGTGGTGCAGTCACTGTTATGAGGAACCAAGTGGCAGGAAAGATGGGTGAGACCGAGAAGCCAGCATCTTGGAGCCAGTGGTTGGCACAGCTGCACCATATGGAGGCTGATGAGGATCATCTGACGGTTTCTGGTGATCAGTATTGTAATTGTTACAACACACCAAAGTCGATTAATCTTGCTTTGAAAAACCTGGAGTGGGAAGGGGGCGGGAGGGTTATTTTAGGCCTCAGATGACACAAATTAGCAAGGCCTGATTAGAATGTAATTTGGCTTGACGTGGTAAACTTCTGTGTGTTATTTCACTTCTCAGAGAGCACATGGAGGTTGCATGTGCAAGACAGCGGCTGTTCCCATCTCGTGTTTCCTCTCCCTTGCTGACTGTGCTGGCTTCTGTCACAGGCAGGTGGCACACCTGGGGAGAGGTCAGGTGTGGTGCCGTATGAGGGAGCGAAACACCGTGCGTCTCTTCTCAGGTACATGTCCTCTTGGAGAGGACATGTCTGCCCTTGCACTTCTAACGGCCAAGAGAAACCTCCCAGCTCAGCCTAGTTGTTTGCTGTTTAGAAATAGTCCATCTTACAAGCGCAGCCCTTGTTCCCAGCACTGGATCCACCCTCACGTGGATCGGTGTAATGGGACAAGCAGCCAAGAAACTGGGCCTTGCTGAGCTGCGGCCCCTTTCCCCGTGTTGTGGATCTGCTTCGTTTTTGCTTCTCGTGTGTGCAGACTGACTGCAGTTTCTGGGGATAAGGGTTTTCTTTTTGTTTGTTTTTTAGCTAGGAAAATGCAAGTGTCTCCCAGAGTAGTAGTGAGGGTGGGGGTGCTGCACGGCAGACCTCAGCAAGGAGGGCTCGGTGAGTACGAGGACATCAGTGGGTTGTCTCCGAGAGGCTCTGGCTGTTGCAGAGAGATTGTGCATGGGAGGTGGGTAATCCCTGATCTTACTGTTGTTTAGCTGTGGAGGATGTGGGAATGTCTCTGACCTTATTAATTTGAGGCTGTAAACAAGAACTTTTCAGGGTGACATAGTGTCTAGCGTTGGTGAGAATGGGTTTGGAAATAGGGACTTGCCTGCATTTGAATGAGGGGTTAGCAACAGAGCTCAGCTTTCCTGGCCTGGCCATTGAGACTTGTTCTCTGACGCACCAGTCTGATATACATACCAGAGCCGTTGATGTGAAGAGGTTTCTTAAGCAGCCTCATCTCCAGTGCCCAAAGGGTCAATAGGTGCCTGTGGAGCGTGAGCAGGGAGCCGAGATCCCCGCAGGACTCCTGGAGGAGACGGGTCTGGGGGAGACGGCAGAGGGGACCGGGAGCCCCATCTGCAGGGCACGAGGCACCCGTGGGGCAGACAGAC